TGTCGTTTGCCCTTGGCACAGAGCAATTCTCAGTAGACATTTTTTGGATGAACTAATAAAAATTACCCAGATACTAGAAATTTCTTCATTTGACTAATCTATTATGTGCTCCCAGTCCTTACCCTGCAGGGGTTCGCAGCCTGTGTGGTTGGGGAAGATTTCGCATGTAATGATAATGTCCTGTGTTATGTGATAAAATGTGCCGCGCCAGCACGGCCAAGGTGACCCCGAGTGGGGGTGATGAAAGGACTGAGAAAAGACAGACAAGAGAATGAAAGCTGGGCCTCGGTGGGACGCTGCTCCCAGATGGAGAGACAGCGCCCGCGCCCACAAGCCGTGTCTTTATTTTATAGCAGATTCCACGAGGCAATGTAAGGGCGTGATCAAGATGTTTACAACATTCTCGTGGGTTTCAGTCCCACTCAATTACGTGCACCTGAACTCTATCACTCAGGCACGTGGGGCCACGTGTTCGGACCATAGGTTCAAGATTACAGCTATAGCTGTTGGCTATAATTGTGCTGGGAAGGCCCTGCCCTCCAGCTGGGACTTGCACGTGGCCATGAGAGGACTGTGCCCTCTCATCAGTCCAAGGCTTGAACCTGTCCAAAACACTTTAGCCGCGCCCCACGATAAAAGTGCTACAGGAGCCCGGCTGGTGTGCTCAGTGGATTGAGCATCATCCCACATAGACCAAGATGTCTGGGGTTCGATTCCCAGTCAGGACACATGCTTGATCCCCAGTAGGGGGCGTGCAGGAGGCAGCGGATAGATGACACTTCGATGTTTCTATCTCTCTGTCTCCCTCTCTTTCTAAAAATAAAAACTTTTTTTTAAGTGCTACAGGAACATGGAGGGAGATGCTGCAGACACTTCTCTGGGAAGGAAACTTAAGCAACAAAGGCATGCGTAACATCCCCCTGGGCTTTGGGGGCCATTGATGCGTCTGCAAAGGGATTCTCAGAGGACCAGGGCTTCTCTAGGCTCACACTCACAGTCACGTGCTGGGGACAGAGAAAGCTGGGGTCGGGTGCTTCCTCTGCAGGGAGACTCAGACCCCCTCACTTGCCTCCCGTGGAGGGGGGGGGGGGGCCTGCAGCCCTGGAGGATAGCACCCACGCTGGGCTGCCCCTGGATACCGCTCAGAATCTAGGCATTCGGATTAAGTGAGTCCATGTTGTGGTCTCCTACCCTGGCCTTGCTGGCCACAGCTACGCTGGACCTGGGAAGGGCCCTGCCCTGCACACCGCTATCGTGTCATGTCAGTCTTAGTGCTTTTGATGCAACTAACAGAATACCCACCGGCACGAGGCCTCCTAGCTGGTGGTTTTTGTTTTTCCTTTCTCACGTGACAAGCCTGGAATTAAGTTCTTGGGAAGGTCAAAGCTCAGAGTTTGCTTGTCTGTTACCCCCAGGGCCGGGGCACATGAGGCCTCACTCACTAAGCCAGAACTTCGCTCGTTTGTGCTCCCAGCTCCCAGTCTAGCGGCCCCCGATTCCAGGCCGGAGTCCAGTAACTTGTTGACCGGCTGGAGCAGGGCTTGCCTTAGTGCCCGCCCAGGGGTGTCGAACCTCCATGTGAAAGCCTGCTCTGCCAGCCCATCTGGTGATTGTCAAAGCGCTCCGACAGGAATCCCTACCCGTCCTTTAAAAATCCAGGCTGTGTTCTCTTGGGGGACTTTTTGGCCCGGTATTTTTGTGTTGGTTTTTTTTTCCAGTCCAAAAGTTAACATTCATGCAATTTGTTAGGCTGATCCGACCCGGAATGTTTCTCTAAAAATAATCTTGCTGTAAATGTTTTTGAAACTACATTTTCACAGAATAAGGAAGTCATCTGATAAAGGACTAATTGCGCAAGAAGTGCCTGACCAAATTTCATCAGATTATTTAAAAATTGAGATGTAATTAACAAATAAAATTGTAAAATATGAAAATATTGTACATCGTAGTGACTTAAAATACAATAATCTTATCAGGTTTAATGTTTTAAAAAGGCAAAACAAACAAATAGCATTTCTGGAAAGAAGTATAAAGTGGAAGTTTCTGAACCTGGTTGAGTAAGAGCAGGGCCCACCCCCTTCTTACAATCACTGGCCTACACGCTGCCGCCCCCTCCCAGAGCAGCAACCACTTCTACCAAAGGCAGCAACTCGGGCGGGCGCCCTGGGGTTCCTTCCATTTTACTTGTTTGTGCTGAGTCACCAGGGGGTGGGGTGGGTGCAGGTCGGAGCCAGTAGCAGTTACATGGTTGAACGATAAAGAATGCGTGTGTGCAGCAAAGTGCGTGTGTGTGTGTGTGTGTGTGTGTGTGTGTTGGGGGAAGATGTCCTCAGTTAACTGGCTTTATTGAGTCTTCCTGAAGAATAAAGAGTTGGAAAGGACTTTCAATTAAGGGAGGGAGGCAGCTGGAAGTCTGAGCAGGAATACTCCCCAGTCAGGGTCAGCTCAGAAGTTCCCTTCCGGGCTAGCCCAAGGCTTAAACTGAGAGGGGAAGAGTGGGTGAGGGGGGGGATGAGTCCCCAGCCAGCCTGGGGAAAGGCTGGAGGCAGTTCCGAAAGCTCTGGGTTTCCATCCTAGAGCCGCCCCAGATTGGGGGGCGGGAGCCACACTGACCCTTCGCAGGAAAGGGGAGATGGAGCAGGAAGGCTCTCATACCTCCAGCTGTAGGTCCCTGAGTAGGTTTAGCAAGAATCCAGGTGATTTTTTTAAAATTGATTTCAGGGAGGAGAGATAGAAACATCAGTGAAGAGAGAGAATCATGAATCATGGATCGGCTGCCTCCTGCACACCCTCCACTGGGGATGGAGCCCACAACCCCGGTATGTGCCCTGACTGGGAATCGAACTGTGACCACTTGGTTCATAGGTCAACAACGCTCAACCCCGAGCCACGCCGGCCCAGGGGGGTCTTGCGTGCTATATATTTAGCTCCTGGAGCAGGACCCGGAACAACAGGGCACTTGGCGCTCAGCTCCAGCTCCAGCTGCCTCCCAGGAACCACACTTGCTGGGGAACACACACAGTGAGCACTTGACCCAGCTGATCGTCCTTTACAGAACACGCCTTCCCTCGGTGCCTTGCTCCTCCCAGGGCGCCTCTCTGCCACCTCGTCTGGAAGGATGGTGAGTCAGGCCTGCACGCCTCATCTTCTGGCCACTCTCCCCAGGTAATGCCATCCTCTCCATGCTACTTACTGTGCTGTTGGCCAGACCTTTGTCTCCAACATCCTCCTTTTCTGAGCCTCTTGTAACCCCCTGCCCTGAATATGCCATCAGGATGTCTCAGGCACCACACCTGAATCCAAACACACACACCCCGCCCCCAACCTGCTCCTCCTGTGTCGTCCGACTGCCGATGAGGCCCCCTCCCGACCCAGGCCCCTCACACTGCTCACCGCCCATCTACCCTCCGTCAGCGTGTTCCTCATCCACTTTCTTGCCCTTCCTTCAGCTTCACTGTGGCTTCTTCCAGGAGGCGAAGCATGTCGTCCCTCCCAAGCCAGGCCCTCAGAGCACCCGGGTGACCTCGCGGAGCTCAACATGCTTTTCGTAATGATGCCATCTTTCTGCCCGAGGACCTCGGCCCTGGCACCCAGCAGAGCCCCTGGCACAGGACAGAATGGAGGGGTGCAGTCGGGGCACAGGGCTTTTAGTGAATAAATGTGGGGTGTGGGAGTCACAGGTGGCTTGGGTAAACCCAGATACACCCAGATGTATAGGCTGCTGTTCTCCATTCCAGGAATCGGATTTGGAGGCCACAGATGATCAAAGTCTCTTCGTATTGACAAACATTTGCCGATTCACGTCATCGGCCAGGCCCTGTGGGCCCTGAGATGGCCAGCCCCAGTCCACCTTCCAGACTCTCACCCTGGGGCAAGCAGATCCTGAGTTCTGAGGGGACAGGTAGGGTGGGATCCAAAGGGAAGGAACAGCTGCAGAGGCCTTCGCCCCTAACGACCTCAGGGCAGAGAAGAGGGGGAGGGCGCAGCAGGTTGCTGCTTAGGGCGGAAGGAGTTCTGAGAGTTGGTTCAGGCACAGAAGAGACTTGAACCACCACCGTGAGCGTGAAGGCCAGGGCCCCAGAGCCTCAGGCCCACATCCTGGCTGGGCTGACACTGCCAGCATCCGGGTCCTTGGCTGCCCCCACAGAGGCTCCATCCCAGCCCTGGAGAGTCCCTCCCACTGCGACAGGTGGTCCCAGGTCTGCAGGGAAGATCACTGACAGCAGGACCCCCAGACGGAGAGGCGGGCCTTGAGCCACACCTCAGCAGCAGCAGCTGGCCGCCGAGATAAGTTCCTACCCCAGGCCTGGCCCGGCATCTGCAACTAACTGCCAAGTGCCCTGCAGGGCGCGGCCAGAGGGCCAGTGGTATCAGCTTCTCACTCGGCAGCAACCAGTGAGGACAGCATGGGAGCAGATGTGCTAGGTAGAAACATGCAAAGGTCTAGCAAAGGAAATGGGGAAGGAACTTGTCATGTTGCATGAGCTTCCAACTGTAAAACAGGCTTGTGTGGGCCTAACGCTTGGAGAAGCCACAGACTCCGCAAGCGGGAGCCTGAGATGGCGCTGTGTTGTGTGAAGGTCACTTCCCGCCCAGCACACGCTCAGGGAGAGGCCCACTGCTGGGTTAGGAGTCGGCCCTGGCCCGTCCTCCCTTCCGGAGTAAGGACTTTCTCCTCCAACAGGTCCTTGGGGATGGCCCTATTGCGTGGCAGGGAGAGGGAGACACTGGGACAGGAGCCGGGGCCGCATAGGAGAGTGGCCCCCACACACTGCAGAGGAAGGAGAGGAAGCCCAGGCTTGGCCCGGAGTGGAGGGTGGGGGGCTCCAGCTCCCAGCCTGTGACAGTGCGGAGAGGGGAAAGGAAGGGTGTCCCCCCCACCCCCGACGCTGACGTTGACACAGGACAAACAGAGTCCGCTGACAGCGGGCAGTTTATTGTGAAAGCCGTGTGTGGGAGGGGGAGGCAGGGTGGGCAGGACCAGGGCCCATCTGGGGGGGTTTGGCTGGACATCAGGCATTCCTCCGCGTGGGTTTAGAGGCAACACCGTCATGGATAAACCCCCCCAGAGGCCGGTGGGTGAGGGGCGCCCTAGGCACTGCCGGGGGCCTGGGCCAGCAGGGCTTCGATGTCGGGCTCGATGTCGATGGTGGGGAAGCGGCGGCTGTACCTGCGCACGGGCACGCCGTCCGGGCCCACCAGGAACTTCTCGAAGTTCCAGGACACGTCGTTGCGGCACACGGGGGACCAGGTGACGAGCTTGGGGTCGGTCATGAGCGCCGCGGCGTCGTCGCTGGGCGCGGGCAGCCCTCCCGCAGGAAAACGAAGAGGGGGTGCGCCTGCGCGCCGT